TATGGCCGTGCCCTTTATCTGATTATTTTCTTATATCTGTGCCTTGCTATAGGATCAATTCCTATATGTGGATTAGTGTGGCAAATTGGCATATTATTGATTTTGATAGAAATCTCCATATTAGTCAGAAGTGAACCAATTTACGTTTCCATCAACCCATGTTGGAATAATGCTAATAATTCCATTAGCAAGTATGGAAACTTACTTTTCAGCAACAAAGACTTCCTCTTCCTTTCCCAGAATTTAGATAACGTAAAAATGAAACCCTCAAGATTTGGAGGTGGGGGAGGAGCTTTTCAAAACAGTGCTCACGGGGTCTCCATGTCCTTCTCAGTGGTCCGGGTAAGGGGGCTGAGCAGTTCGCTGTGAGCCTGACCTGCTGTACCAGCTCTGGCCGGGCCACATCCAGTGGTGCAGGATGGGGCTGGGTCCTGAGCACACACAGTGCCGCAGCCCCTGTCCTAACTTCCTGGGCCCAAAACCGAAATTTCTCAATGAGCATGACATGGAGCCAAGGAAGCTGCCCGGTCCTGAGGGGTTTTCAGCACGGCATCCTGCTCCCCCGGATCCTGTTGTCTTTTATATGTATCTACACCATGCTTGATAAACATGTTAAAAATTAAATCATCTTGGGGCTGGAGCGATAGCACAGCAGGGAGGGCGTTTGCCTTGCACGTGGCCGACCCAGGTTCAATTCCCGGCATCCCATAGGGTCTCCTGAGCGCTGCCAGAAGTAATTCCTGAGTGCATGAGCCAGGAGGAACCCCTGCGCATCGCCGGGTGTGACCCAAAAAAAGAAAAAAAAATTAAATCATCTTTCCAGAATTCCATCCCAGTCATCCCCTTCCAGTTTTCCTTTGTCACATAATTTATTTGTTATTTCCTTTTATAACATGTAATTATGTCATATACAAATTGTGGTTCTTTCTCAGTTAATTATATATTAATTTGCTTGATTACAAATTCCATATTTGGTATATTTCCTTCAGAAACAAAAATGTCAGAAGGATCGTTTTCCGATGTAGTTTCTGAAATAGCTAATTCCCTCTGGGGTTTGAGTCCTCACTTAGAGGTTGTCCTTTCTGCTTAAGAGTTTAACTTTCCTCATCATTTATTTCAATACTTATTATTATTAATATTTTCTATTTTTAACACCCATTCCCATCGGTGTTTGGGCCAGTAGCCGTTTTTGTTCTGATTACCAGTGACTGACCAATTGTTACAAAGTTTTCTGGATGGAATATAAAAGTGACGAGTGAGAGGCTAGCCCTGGGTTTCCTCATGTGCCCCTAAAGACTCATGGGACTATAGAAAATGTTGAGTGAGTGATGTGATCTAGGTTCAGCAAATAATGCAATCTTTGGTTTTTTAAACATTATTGGACTGGAGAGATAGTATAGCGGGTAGGGTGCATGCCATCACACAGCCCAGCAGGTTTAGTTCCCAGCACCCCGTACAGTCCCTCGAGCACCATCAGGAGTGACCCTGTGCTCAGAGCAAGCAGTAAGCCCTGAGCACTGACCAGTGTGGCGAAAAACAATTGTTTGATGTCTTAAATGGTACTTATTATAACTATCCATTGCTTTGCATTTGATTCTGAACAGTGGGCTCTGCAGTATATTCTTTTTTTTTTAATTTTTATTAGTGAAACACCATGAGGTACAGTTGTAGACTTACAAGGTTTTGTGCTTGGGTTTCAGTTATACAATGATCGAGTACCCATCCCCCCACCAGTGCCCATTCTCCACCTCCAGTGCTCCCAGTATCCCTCCCACCCAGCCCATTGCCCACATACCACCCCCCCACCTCCCCACTTCCACCTCCCACCCCCCCCCGACCCCCCCCTCCTTCCGTGGCAGGGCATTCCCTTTTGTTTTCTCTCTCCTTTTGGGTGCTGTGTTTTTCAAAAGAGGCATAGAGTGACAGTCATGCTTGGCCTATAGTCTACTTTCAGCATGCATCTCTAATCCTGTGAGGATCCTCCCAACACCCTTTATTTGGTGCTCCCTTCTCTATCTGAGCTGCCTTTTCCCCTAGCATGTGCGGCTGGCCTCCAAGCTATGGAGTAATCCTTCTGGTGTTGATCTCAGCTATTCTTGGGTGTTAATCTCCTATTTTGTTACTTTGTATTCCCCAGGTGAATGCAGTCTTTCTATATCTGCCCCTCTCTTTCTAACTCATTTCGCTTAGCATGATACTTTCCATGTAGTACCACGTGTATGTAAATTTCATGACTTCATCTTTTCTAACAGCTTCTGCAGCATATTCTTTAGTAATTGCATTTATCCATGTCCTTCTTTTCTGTAGAAGTATTTTCTAATCAAAGAAAATCAAAGTGATCACCAGCTGTATGATTACAATGTAATAAATATGTTCTGGTTCTGAAAGACTAGTATCATTAGATGAGGAAACATCAGTTGAGGTTGACTACAGAAATTTTATTAGAAAACAGTGTGTACTACTTTGGGGGGCAGGGGCGTTAGGCTACAGCTGAAATGGCTCTGTGCTCAGGGACCACTCCTGGTGAGCCTCGTGGGGCCATATGGGGTTCCAGGGATCCAACCCAGGTTGGCCACATGCCTGTCTGCTGTACTAGCTCTCTGACCCCTGGAAATTCATCGGTTTTGAACAAGCAGAATGCATCTAACAGTTGCATCGAAGGCTACTACCACTGGTGCTGAATTGTTCCAGCACCCTCTGGGGCAGGGAGTAGGGGAGCAGCACCCACTTTGGGAAACACAGATAGAAGGAATATCTAATTTTTTGTGTGTGTGGAATGTTGGTTTTGTTGATTTTTGGAATGAGGATCAAAACACTTCATAGAAGCATTTTAAGGGATTGCAGGGGAAGGATGGAAATTAAGTATCCTCAGCCTGGCTAAAATCTCCCCAACTTTTCAGCTACAGAGAAAAGGTGTTTAATGTTTTGGTTTCATTTTTTGTAGAGGTGTCTCCAGCTGTGCTGGAGGGAGGGGCCACTTGCAGAGAGGTGGCTGCCTGTTGCTGCTCCAGCCGATGGTGCTCTCCGCTCAGCAGTGTTGGAGACCGGCCACCCCAGAGGCCACATATTGTCGCCAGTATAGGCAGGGACACACAGTTCCAGATGTTGAACTCAGGAAAGAGCATCAGTTCATCCCTCACTGCCCCCACCCCGCTCCTATTTATTTTCCATCTATTCTGTTGTTTTTTATTGAGGTTCTGTGATTCACAGCACCGTTAATGATAGTTTTACATGTATTTCACTCCAGCACCACACCCATCACCAGTGCACTCACCTCCCTCCCCCACGGTCCCCTCCCTCTTAACCCCTGCCAGACTTGGATGTCAGGATCGATTCACTGTGTTGCTTTTGGTCATTTGCCACCAGCTTGCTGTGTGTCTTGAGCCTCCCAAATGAGAGAATTCACTCTGTATCTGCCCCGTTCCTTCTGGCTGACTTCACTCAGCATGATATACTCCGGTGCCATCCATGTCATGGCAAGTTGCTTGATTTTGACCTTACGGCTCCATAGTATTCCTCTGTGTATATGCAGCACAACTTCTGACCCATTCATCCACAGTTGGACATTTTGAGTTGTTTCTGTATCTTGGCTTTTGTGCTAGTCACTGAAATGTACACAGGTGTGCATTTATCCTTTTTAAATTCATGTTTTTGTATGGCGGGGTGTTCAATGGCAAGAAGCAATGTCACTGGGTTGTAAGGTAGCTCTGTTCCTTTGGGGCTTTTTGTTTGTTTGTTTTTCAAGATCTCCACGTTCTTTCCGTGGAGTCAGAGCCACGCAGCACCCCACCAGCGCTGAGGCTGCTTCCTCGCCACGGCCCCACCAGCGCGCCGCACCCCTCACTAATGTTTTGTGAGGATACAGCTTTTCTCCCCATTGATTCTTTTTTCACTTTCAAATTAAAAATTAAAGCTGTATGAAGAAGTAATGGTATAATTGGTTAGAATGGCATGTCTTTCCTAAATATTCTTCTAATAAAACTGTCCTTATTCAAACATTTCACTGCAGTCTGGGGATGTGGCCCACATGCTCAGGCTCTTGCTAGCAGGTGTGAGCTCCGATCCCTAGCCCCACATGGGCCTCCCAAGGTATAGTCTTCAGGAGCACTGATGAAATTGTCAGGAGTCACCTGAGGCACCCCAGCTGTCTGGATATGTACTCTGGACTCTGTGTGTGTGTGTGTGTGTGTGTGTATCTTGTTTGTATAGGTTATGTGTACTTTTTTGCAGTAGTCTACGGTTAATAAGCTGATCTAGGGTCCTACTGTTAAATCAAAGAGTTTTCTATGTTCCACAATGTTACATATCTCTTAAAAACTGTGAAAAATCATTTCAAAATTAAGGACTAATGTTAAGTGTTTCTCCAGGAATTGAGTGCTGAGTAATTTTTATTTTGCATTTTAGGACCATTGTTATAATATTTAATGTTTCATCTATTATTATAACTACCCTATGGTAATATAGTTTTAGTAACGTTCTTGGATTTTAAGTCCTCTACAATCACAAGATTTTAAGCCTCTTAAATTACAGGATGAGTCACTTTCTTGAACTAAGTTGTTGTATTTTATCAATTCCTCTGTATAGTCACAATTGGGAGTGTGACTAAAAAGGAAAAACCCTTTTTGGGGGGCTTGTGAGGGAGGCATCCTGGCATTGCTCAGGAGACCTTGTGGTGCCAGAGATCAAACCTGGGTCAGGTGTGCTGAAGCAGGCGCTGGAGCCTTTGAATCGCTCCCAGCCCAAGGGGAAGAATCCTTTACCTGGTGGAGACAAAGGTGTTTCTATTCTTGGAGTAATCTCCCCCAAAAGATAAAGCAAACAGAATGCTAATCATCCAGCAACAAAACCTCTCTCCACCCCCGCCACCAAACCTGAGCATCAGATATGAGATGCTTTATCAAGGATCGCTGAAAAGAGATGAAATTCCAGAGCCCCGAAGATGCGCGTGCGGCTGTGTGCGCAGGCTGCCCTGTACTGAGCCGTCTCTGCTTCCCTTTCAGTGACCCTGTACGCATCCTGCATCCTCCTGGGAGTGTTCCTCAACAGCAGCATCCCTATATTTTTCGAGCTCTTTGTGGAAACCGTCTACCCAGTTCCAGAAGGAATTACTTGTGGAGTTGTCACGTTTTTAAGTAATATGTTCATGGGAGTTCTTTTATTTTTCCTCACATTTTACCATACAGGTAAGAAATTCGTCATTTTCTGCCCGGATGAGTTAGGAGAGAGGGCGGGTGGCACTGGAGTACAGGGAATTAAGTGGCGGATTCTCAGGCAGATTATTCCACCTAAACAATGCTAAATGCAGAGCTACTTCAATTTAAAAAAAGGAAAAGTAGATACGATGCTCCCCCCCCCCCCAAAAAAATGAGCTAATTACCTTCCTTGAGGTTTCAGATGCCAGTAAAAGAAAATATCCTGAGTTCTTCCTGAAATGTATCGCATGCAGATCGGATGCACCCTCAGCCCCAGAGTTTCTAATTAATTAACCTGGACTGGACCCAGCATTTGTAGTTTTTAAAGCCTCCCAGCTGATTCTAATATGCAGGTTCTCATTAAGAACCACTTGTATATTGCTTTCTAAACACAATTTTTAGAACCTGCTGCCTTGACATAGAATATAAATGAATTCAAGATATGTATACTTCAAAACTTGAAGGATGCTCAGAAGTCACCCAAGGATTTTATAGGATAGTTCAGTCCAGTGCTACTTTTTATGACAGTGGGAATATTCTTTGTGCTCACCGGCCAGGACAGTAGCACATCCAGCACATGAAGCTAGTGCAGTGATGGACTTGCTTTCTTTTTTCCTTATTATCCTATTTAATTATCTTAAATTTACATGGCCATCTGACTTAGACAGTAAGCATGGAGGGATAAAGTGAATATGACTGAGGTCACAGTCCACAGGCCCCCTTTGGAGAAGAGGGAGATCCTTATAAAAAAAAGAGAAGGGCTCCTGCACCCAAATGAGTGTGTGCCCCCGGAACACTGGGCCTGGCTGGGCAGAATGGGGAAGGATGGCAGAGTCCTGAGGGTGCTAGCTTCTGGAGGACAGAATGATCCTAGAAGATAAACTCTGAGAGACTGGGAGGAGCTCTGGCAGGTGGCGGGGTTCAGGGGTGATTCCTTTTGCAGTTATTTGGCTTTCTGGTAGACTCTCTTCTGTGTTCCAGATTCTGTCATAATGGTTTAGAAAATTTGGGCATCATTAATCTAGTGTTCTTTTTTGCATGACCAAACAAGGAGTTTGTGATACTTGTGAGTCTTAAATATAGGTAAAGGTAAAGGTAAAGGCCCTCCCGTTGATCGTCGATTTGCTCGAGCAGGCCCAGTAAAGTCTCCATTGGAGACTTTGTTGTTACTGTGTCTGGCATATCGAATACGTCACGGGGAGCTTGCCAGGCCCTGCCGTGCGGGCGAGATACTCTCGGTAGCTTGCCGGGCTCTCCGAGAGGGCGGAGGAGTCGAACTCGGGTCGGCCATGTTGGCCGCGTGCAAGGCAAACACCCCACCGCTGTGTTATCGCTCCAGCCCTTAAATATAGAGAGGTGTGTTTTCTTTTTTATAATCTCTTACTAGTTTTATGTTATGTCCTATTTTACTTTCTCACCTTAAATTACCTAACATTCTACCTTTTCTCCCCACCCCCCAGTTGCTTTTTTCTTAACCACTCATCAAATACCAGAATCTTTAGATAAATTTATACATGGAAGAATCGAGCTTCTAAGATCCCGATATATGTAGGAAATGTCCTCAACTGTGACATTCCACGACGCCTCATGGTTCGCAGGGAAGTGGTTGACAGGTTTATAACTGAAACACAAGTCAGGAGAACCTCCTCGGTTAATGTTTTTGAAGCTTTCAGTGCTGATGAACAGATTCTGTCCTGGGCTTTAGACAACTCTGGGCATGGCATTTTTACCAAACAGCATCAAACTGCTATCTTGTTTTCTAAATATATTGAACAATGAAATAGATTATTTCCATCCCTCAGTAACCCAAGTGAAGTAGGTTGCATGCAGCCTTGCTGCCCCCTGAGTTAGACATGCCCTATGAAGAAGACTGGAGTTAATGAAGTGCCAACTTCCGAACACTGCTCTGGAAATGGGTGTTGCCTCAGAGAAAATGCCATCGCCGGGTGTTGTAGAAAGAAAGGGCTTGGCCATCCGTGAGTTTTCTAAACAGAATCACCCGAACTGTTGTTTCAGATCCACTTGAACCCACAGCTGACGTGGAGAGACTCGGTGCCTCTCGTTCACTGGCTCAAGTGTCAGGGTCGGCTCTGTTGCCCGTTAAGGTGCTAGAGAAGATTTCCCAGTTCTTAGGCACAGACTTGCTGAGGAGCCATCACAGCCTGGTTGAGTTTGGTTCTCCCTGTATGTCTGGTGCCCCAGTACTTACACTCAGCGGCAGTCCATTCCAGAGAATGTTGTCCCCACGACATCTCACACCGTCCCGAGAGTCGGAGGATCATGTGTTGACTAACGAGGCCGCGGCAGGGGATCACCCCCAAGCTGCCTGTGGGAGAGCCCGCACGCTTCTGACCATTTTGCCTGGACAGCAGAGTGCCCGTCCCTCTCCTGGGCCCAGCGGCAGCTGTCAGTTTATTCGCACAGTTCAGCCTCTAGCACTAATGCACCGGAACTGACATCTGCTTTCCGCCCTCATTCTGCAGCTTCAGGTGACCGTCAGCAGTACTTTTGTTTCGCTAGTATAGGTGGCAGGGAAACACTTAAAACTATTTCTGCTAATACCCACTCGCTAATGTCATGGCGGCTTATCTAACTCGGGGGACAAACACTTTCCCCTGATTTGGGCTGGCTTCTGATCACATGTTCTGTGCTCATGTTAAAGGTCACTGCCTAAAGTTCATTACTGTGAAAAATGAAACCTTGCATAATGATTCACTTTAATGCAGTGGATGATTTTTCAGGGCAAAAGAGAATACCCTGAGTCCATTTGAAAGAATTAATGAGAAGACATGTGTGAATGCGCCTGGGCCAGGGCGTGGCTGACACTCACCAAAGGCCAGTTTTGTTCTCTTCTAGCTGACAAGCTCGTGGCTGTTAGGGGTTTAAATGTCTAGTCTTCTGTTTCAAAGAAATTTGGGGAAGGGGGGCCACACCTGGCAGTTCTCAGGGCTTGCTCCTAACACTGCTGTTAGGAATTACTCCTGGCAGTGTTCCAGGGATCCTTATGGAGTACCAGGGATCTATCCCGTTCGCTGCATGCAAGGTCAATGCCATACCTACCCACTGTACTACCTTACCTTCTGGCTCTAAAAGGAAGTTTTTACATGTATGTTTGTGACCCACATTTCTATGAGTAAGGTTACTAAAACTTTGAAAATCATGTTAAGATTCTTTCACGAATAATTAATTGGTTTCCCCGGAAACCCTTCAGCTGAGTCTGCATGCCTTGTGACTGAGTTTCAGTGGAAAATAAATTGCAAATCTGAAAATTTTGCAAAATTATTTTCTAAAAATAACTTAATTCCACAGCCTACTGCCCTAAACACTTTATGTGATAAACTGAATTCTTCCATTAGAGCCAGTGCTCAGAATGTCGTCCTTCAGTCATTTCAAGCCTTTAGAAAACTCCTCCAGAGGGTAACCATGAGTCACACAGTTCAGCTATCAGTTACAGGACTGGAAGGCCTGATTTATAATCATCCGGAAGATCTGTGGGTTTTTTGGGCACTTCTCGAAGAAGCACTAGGCTTCCTGTGGGGCGTTCTTATGTCCCCGCAGTGTGCTGTGTGGTGGCTGACTATCAGGTAATGTTCCAGCACTGTGCACACCAACCCAGAAGGACCACATTTGGTCTTGGCACAAGGTGGGACAGCAGACCAGTGTCCACTGGCGACTTGCTTGGAGGTTATGTCCTTACCAGCCTTGACCATGATTGTCACACAGGCTTCTTCACCCAGTGCTACTGTCCCCATGTCCCCCAGTCCCCCATTTCCTGTTTGGGTTCCACATTGAGTATATTGAACCATGTCAAAAGGTTCTCAGTTTTTCTGTCTTGGATTTTTCAAGGTAATTCTCAAGAAAAAGAAGTGGCTTGCCCTCGAATATAAGATTATCTGTGAACCAGAGTGACTTCCTCTAGCCTTTGCTTTGAGTTCTTCCAGACAGCACGACAGTGATTTATTCTAATAACTTTACATACAAAAGCCATTTGGGACTGTTGTTAGATTCTTTATAGGCTGAAATGTATGTTCTTTGAGTTTATAACTTGTTCTGAAATTAATACTGTCTGTTTTTAACATTATTTAGTAATAAATACTGTTATGTTTTTGCCTTGCAGCAGGTTATGGTTAAAAGGTTTTTGCCTTGGTTCTTTCATTTTGAAGGTGGTAGCTGAACTTGAGGCTGCATTGTAGCTCAAAAAATTCAGGGGCCTGACTGAGATAGGAGGCACTTGATTACTAGAACAGTCGCAACAGGCGTGGACCCCGAGAAGTAGGTTTTGTATCTGGGAAGTAAAACAGTGCTCGCCGTTGGGTGATTGTGTCAACTGAGGGCAGACAGGTGTGGACCTTGAAATCTATAGTCAGCTGGCTCTGAACGGGAGTGCAGAAAATGTTATTAATTCAGCAATGCAGGGCAAATCACCAAAGGAAGAAGTTTGGTTCTGGAGGGTGGTGGACACATACTGTCAACCCTCACTCCTTGCCATCGCTCCGGTACTTAGGAACAGCAGTTTCAGGTGCCAGAGCAGTAGTATAGGGAGTACAGCACAGCAGCTGACCCAGGATTGACCCCCAGCATCCCCTGTGGACCCCTGAGCACCACCAGGAGTAATTCCTGAGTGCAGAGTGAGGAGTAACTCTTCAGCATCGAAGGGTGTAGTCCCTCCCCCGCTCCCCCCCCCAAAAAAAAGAAAAGAAAGAAACAGCAACTGAAGTTGCTGTGTGTCAGGAAAGCGGGTCCCCAGGCAGTTGGTGAGAATTTCTTTTTTCCTCATTCACATTATAAAAACAGTGTTGGATGATCCTCATTTGCTAGGGCACTGGCTGCCCTTGGAGGTGACTGGAACCAAAAGGCACCTTTGACCAGAAAAGAGAGAACCCTGACTGCTTGTGCTGGGACTGGAACCCTTCAAGTCAGAGTTTGCCTTTTTCTCTAGTTGAAAGGTAAAAGGGAAGTCAGAAAACAAACGGGGCTCGCTTTTAAGGTGAAAAAGGACAAAATAAGAACCTGGTGGCGCAGCACTGGTTGGTGGAGCTCTGTCACGTGGCACTGTGGGCCGGCACAGTTGAAACTTGCCAGTTGCTTTTGCAGCTGACTTGGAATCAAACCGGTCCCCGGGGTCAGTGCCCTGAGCCGTGGCTGCTGTGAATGACTTCCTGTGAGAAATAAAGAGCCTTTCCTGCCTCGGACTCTCCGCTCACCATTTGGCAAATCATTTCCAAGAGTGTTTGTAGTTGCGGTAGCCAAGTGAGCTTATTAAAAGGCGGGTGTGAATTTTCAGAGCCGCACAGAGAGCAGCTAAGAGACCATAATACTCCAGAGCCATGAGGAGGCCATTTTAGCACGGCCAGGGTAAAAAGGATGATTTTTTTTTCAATTTTATTTTCACAAAGTTGTTCACAGTACGTTCAATATTCCAACACCAATCCCCCACCATTACACCTTCCCACCACCATTACTTTAAATTTTCCCACCACCACTCAAGCCTGTCCCACAGGCAGACGTTAAATAATGTATTTTTTATTGCTTGTTATGACTAGTATGAGATGCCGTGAGGCCGTAAAAGTGATTGCGCACTCCTGGAATTCAAAATTTTAAATGACTGGGGTCCGGAGGCATTTCTGCAGCATGCTGCTCTCCTCGGAGAGTCATTTGTGAGTTTCTGGATCATGGCTGTTGATCCAGAACTTGCACGGTGCCAAGAGGCAGTCCTTGGGCATGACTGCCAGGAAGCTGGAAGGGCAAGGAGAAGGGAGGATGCCCATCCCCAACTCCGTGAAGCCTGGGGTTGTCAGTCACTAGTCCAGCACACCTGGGTTTTTCAGTGTATTCACTCCCATGAATGGGAGGCTCAGGACCAGCTGTTGAAGGTCAGCCATGAGCAAAGTGGCAGCTAGGTTCTGAAGGTTTGCGGCTACTGGGGTTCTTTTGGAGCGTGCAGAGGAACACCCCTGCCCCCCTCTGTGGTGCCCCAGTGAAATCAGCCTGGCACAGGGTGGAGAGACATCTCTGCAGCACGCTGCTCTCTTCTGAGATTCATTTGGATCCAGAAGGGATAATCTTATAGAGGATAAAATACACCTCTGCTTCAGCTGTATTCGACACATTCCTGAGCTTAAGGGGAGCAAGGACACCGTGTCTGCTGCTGCATGCGTGTGATGGGCTTCCCCATGTAACCAACACTCAGTCTCTGAATACTGAGATCAGTGTGCCTGTTAGGGACCTCCCCTGCAAGGACCAGGAGTTTTTTAGGTTTTTTTTTCTCTCAGCTATTGCTTCAAAGTCAGCCTACTCACTTTTAACATAAGCAGTTTTGCTTTTGTCTTCCATTTGACTGCTTTTTCTCCTTTCATCTTTTCACTGCTTCCTTTTGCCCATCAAAATTGCCATCAGAAGTCCAGAGGCTGTGTGGCTGATATAAAAGCAGCAAACGCCAGGTGTGTCATTTCAGGAAATACCAGAACAAAGACAGGATCCCCGAGGTCACTGCTTTTCTTCGTGTTTAGATTATATTCCATCCAAGGAAAGCACAGAGAAGACTTTTACCTAAAAATACCATTGAAATATACATCTTTGTAACGTGCTATAGAAAGCTTGTCTGACTCTGAAAATGTGGACATTGAAAGGGGAGGAGGCCGCTTTTTAGAATATATTCTCTCACACGCTTGCACACACACACACACACACACACACACACACACACATACACACACAAAAGTACTTCAACACTTTTTCTTATTGTCTGGCTTTCTGACTTCCATTCCTGAGCATAAATTGGTCTTTTCACTATATGAATTATGGATTAAACCAAAGCAGCAGCTTGGAAATCTTTAGGGTGATTTTTGAAAATTAAGGCAGTTTTCCTAGCAGTCTGTAGAAGTACAAAAGGGAACTATAACTAAATAACAGTGCCCGCGGAGGAGAGGGAGGGGGACATACCAGGAAACTTGTTCCTCTTATTACATTTTTTTAATTGAAAGTGCTGCATCAATATTAGACTAGAAACATGATCCCTCCCCAGCCCTCACCAATAGCAACCAGTTTATGCCCAGAAGCTGGTCCCTTCTGCACCCAGAGCCTCGGATTGACTGTCAGAGTGAGTGGGGGTAGAAGGAAGCTGGTCAGATGCACAGCTCGAGGGTTCCTTGGCCACACGAGCAGCTAGAGGATGTGCAGAGGCTGAGGTGTATGTGTGTGTGCGTGTGTGTGTGCATGCGCGTGCGTCTCTCTCTCTCTCTCTCTCTCTCTCTCTCTCTCTCTCTCTCTCTCTCTCTCTCGTAGCCAGACGCCCTGGGGCAGCCAGCTGGAGACCCCAAATGCCTGAGCAAGCACTTCTGAAGAAGCGTGTTCTTGGTGCCACTAAATCAAATCAGTAAAATTGCTGATTAAGTGATTCTTACAGGTTTTCTGGCAATTCTTATCATGCACAACCAACTAGGAAGAAATAAACCAAAATATTTGCAGTGACTTCTCTGGGGGTAGACTTAGTCCCTGGCATCACATTTGGTCCCCTAAGTACCACCAGAAGTGAGCCCTGAGGAAAAGAGTGACCCAGACTTCCACCCCCAAAGGATATTTACATACACATGTTTTGTCAGCCAGGAATGTAACTTGGTGTTAGAGAATGCATGCCTCATACATTTGAGGCCCTGAGTTCAGACCCTGGGACCACAAAATATAAATTATGTATAGATATAGATAGATATACACATGTATATATTACACATCATGCATGTATATATTTTCTAATCCATTTTACAGTGACTATATGTGGGGTTTTTTTTTTTGGGCTGAGAATTAAATTGATCTCACTGTCTCTCTTGATCTCTCTCACTTTCTTCTTCTGGCTTTTGGGGCATACCTAGCAGTGCTTTGGGATCTCTACGTAGTGCCAGGGGTCATATGCTGGTAGCCTCAGGCACGGCAAGCAAGGGTCTCACCTACTTGTACTGTCTCTCACCCCTGTGAAGTAGATATCTCTGTCCTAAAAGAATATTAAAATGCCCTCTTAAAATTCAGGAGATTTTATTATTTGTCTTTCTAAACTGGACCAGGTATTTCCAGACAGGCATATGACTGATGATGATGGAAGGCACTTTTTAAAGAGAATTAACAAACTCAACATTTAAAGGTGATTGATTTTTCTTCTTAGAACTAATAGAATTTTTTTCTTTCTTTTTTCTGGCCACCAAAGTAAAATTGATGCAAGTTATTAACAGCATTGACTTAAAGTATTCCACATGAAAGCCCTGTAATGCCTCACATGCATCATTTTGGCTCCAGGCTGTCACTACTTGCCGCTAGCTGGTCGCCAGCCCTACAGGGCGCGTCTGTGAGCAGGAGGGCGCACCCGTGCTTACAGCTGCCCGTTTCTGTCTTGCAGATCTGTCCTGGTTCAACTGGTGCCTTTCCGGGTCGTGCTTGCTCAGTCTCCTCCTCATCCTGTGCTTCAGGGAATCCTACGACAGACTCTATCTCGATGTGGTTGTATCGGTTTAATAGCACAGACTCGGAGTGTCGAGGGAGACCGGAAATCCATCCTGCGAACTGCACATTTACTTGGCGCATCAAACATGACGAGGAACAAAGAAGAGGGAAGCACCTTTCAATCATCACATCCATGTAATTGCTTCCAAGAAATCTTAATGCGGGACTTGAGTGATAAGAGGGGATTTTTAAACTCCAGACGTGACATACCTGTGCCTGATTTCGGGGTTCGGAGTTGTGATGTTTTACACAGAAATCACTACCTAAATAATACCTTCTGTGTTTTGTGCCAGTGTTCACCTACTGATTGGAAAGTTGTAATTATGAAAGGAAATAAAGCGTGTCTAAGACATGAAGACAATGCCTTCCCTATGTCACAGAACAGAATAGGAGGAAACGCCACTAACTTCTAAAGAAGTCTAAACCCTCTAGAGATTCTGATTCTAAAGTAGCCCAGAGGCGATCTACGTTGAAATTGGCCACCTGTACACTACATTTTTCTAATAAAGCCATTTCTTATATGACTCCTTATTTTTGATTCGGTCAGAACTCTCTGGCCTTCTTTACTCTGGTGAACAAGTGCTTTCCAGGAACTTCGGAGCACGCTCTTCGTGTCTCAGTTTCAGCTTGACCTTGTTTTTGTGAAGTGCAGTTTTCTCTATTAGCATCTTAAATAGTTATATTAAAGGTGACTAAATGTTTAATATAGTTGTATTCAATATTGTATAAATAATGTAATTCTGTTCTGATTTAGCACTTTGTTAAAAGTGAAATGATACATCACATAGACTGTGTCTTTATCCTCTCTATATATGTATATATACATATATATGTAATTATATAATGGCATGGGATGTAAAGTCCATGGCCAGCTATTATTTACGCTATTATTTACCAGGGTTACATTTTATTTAAATGACCCTTGTTTGAAAATAATTTATAAAATTGAAACTTTGAAATCTGTGGAGTAATTTCTGAGTTACCTTCTTGTATTTCAATTCAGATTGTAAAATACTCAATTCTATATGGAGTTAATATATTTGAGAGAGCAGTATTTTGCTGATAATCTGTTTTCTTTCTATAAGTGATAACTCCTTTTTTAAAAAATAACTAAGTTATTCATCAGATATTTCTCAGGAATGTATTTCATCATGATGTGGTGTGATTACGGCATTACCACTGTTCACATTTACATAATTCCCCTCATACAGAAAAACACACTTTCTCAGACTGTAAAGAATAGGGCTTTATTGACCTCAGCTTTCTCCAAGCCACACCCCTCCTCCTTTTCCCCCTGATTTATTTCTTTAGCATTAGCTAAATACATATTTTATTGGTCTTTTTCTGGGCAAAGCTTGTCAGCTCCTTCTGTTTGTCATGGCAGTGTCGCCACTGAAGAGAGTTGGTCGGCGTTACAATCTCCTCATTTTTGCCTGTGCACACACACCCCACAGCACCACCCCCCAAACGGGCTGAGCCAGTTCCCTGTCATGTGAGGTCCCCTGAGCACTGCCCAGGGCGGGAGCCATGAGGAACCCCTGAGCACAGCTTGGTGTGGCCCCTAACAAAATAAAACTCCTCCGCAACTCAGTTTCTTTTATATACAACTATCCTGATGTAGCAGCAGAAACTGAAGGAACTGAGGAGCTTGGTGAAGAGAAGAAGAAGATCTGAGAGCTTGATTGCGTTCCAGTTAATCCTGCCATTCTCAATAAAATGCGAAAGGGAAAGCAAACTTCTTGAGGATAGTTGAAAGAATATCAATAAACTCTGACCCAGGTGCTAAAATAACTGCCACCCCTCCCTGTTTCTAAAGAAGGTAAAATGGGAAAGGACTGTGAAGTATTTGCTAAATAATTCTTTTTGTTTGTTTTGTTTTTGTTCTTTGGGCCAGACCTGGCAATGCACAGGGGTTATTCCTGGCTTTGCACTCAGGAATTACTCCTGGCAATGCTCAGGGGACCATATGGGATGCTGGGAATCGAACCCGGGTCAGACTCATGCAAGGCAAACGCCCTACTCGCTGTGCTACAGCTCCAGCCTGCTAAATAATTCTTGTGCTTTAGACATGACTGTAAAATTCTGCCACAATGTCACTGTCACTGTCACTGTCCTCCCGTTGTTCATCAATTTGCTCGAGCGGGCCCAGTAACGTCTCCATTGGAGACTTTGTTGTTACTGTGTTTGGTATATCAAATACGTCACAGGTAGCTTGCCAGGCTTTGCCGTGCAGGCGAGATGCTCTCGGTAGCTTGCCGGGCTCTCCAAGAGGGGCCGAGGATTCAAAATCGGGTCGGCCGTGTCCACCGCGTGAAAGGCAAACACCCTACCCATTGTGGTATTGCTCCAGCCATCTGCCACAATAAGACTTTTAATATGGAACGTTCTAATTATGGTTAAGTCTACTAATAATGCCAAATAGAGGATAATGCTTTTAAATTTTTACCAAAATAGGGCCAGGGACATAGGCTAAGCTCGTGCTTTGCATGCGAGAGATCCAAGTTGTATCCTCAGCACCATGTGATCCCCCAAGCACCAGCAAAATGTCCCTCAAGATTTCCAGGATCTACCATGGGCACAGAGCTCTAGTTGCCTCTGAGCAACTCCCAGTGTGGCCTATAAACCAAAATATTTGGTTTTTCCTTATATGTGAGATGAGTGCCTCCGTCTCATTAATATTTGCTTACCTCTCCAGCAGATCATTGGTCTGATCACAAATGGCAGCCATTTTCAGTGACCAAGACTTCACTTACCAAAGCTAAGACAACCACAGATTTTTGGAAGTGGGAGGAGAACTATCCCTTACATACTTACCTGGATATTTTAAGTCATCTCTTAGTTCTTCTCGCATGGAACAAAATAGACCAGCTGCTATCTTTGCTTTTGCTAAGGAAACATTATAGAATCCTGGTGAAGTTTTATAACTGAAATCAATCAATCTTAATTCATCCCTCATCCAAATTGTCACTTTAGAATTTTATAGCAACAGTCCAGAGAGGTAAAGGATCTTGCTGAAGATCACAGTCCTCATTAGTGACCCAAGTAGAACTGAAAATTCATATTTGAGTCAAAATCAGTGTTCTCCCTACCTCACAAAATTAAGCTTACTTTGAATATCTTGTTGTGTTTATGAATACTCTCCCATATTTAAAAAAATAGAATCTCAGTGACCATTGTTGAGTATGGGGAGAAAGTACAGGAATTCAAAATGTTTCCCACATAAATGGCCCATTTCATTACTATTCTGTTGTTTCCCTGGCATCTATTGGTCTTGGCTTACTGTAAGATGATGTAAAGAGATTCTGATGAATAATTCAGTCCTCATAAACCAAGTCAACAGCATTAATTGGTAGGGACATGCTGTAGTGTAAGTTCAATGAAAGCAGTTTATGGGAAGAAGTGGTTTTTAATGTGATCTGTGGTGGATGTGTAGGAACAAGATAATTACAAATGCTTTTCAGTGAGGGGTGGAGCTAATAGAACAAAAAGGGCCTCAAGTAAAAATTTCATTTAGTTTAAGAATAATTAAATATCCTAGAACCAAGGTTTACCATAGATCATACACTCATACTCATATTACTAAGAATGTTTACAGCTTGGTTTTTTAAGGCCCTTCTAATGAAAGATTCAAATTTAGGAGATAAAATTAAAGAGACTACATTTCTATCAATTTTTAATTCATTTTTTACTATTTTACTAAAAATCTAGATATTGGTCTATTTGTTTAAATACAAACCCCATTATAAACTCAAAATTAGAGGCTGGAGAGATAGTGGAGGGGCTAGGGGCCTGCTTTACATGTGCCCCATCCTGGTTCGAATCCCTGCATTACCAGAACCGTTCCTGAACACAGAGCCAGTAATAGCTCCTTAGCATCAGCATGGCACCTCCACACACACCCCCAAAAAAACAACAAACTAGAGAATATGCTTGAAATTATATACAAATGCAAAGTTACTTCACTTTAATGTGAATTTAATTAAAAATAATATTGCGTATTTATGCCAGAAATAATGAAATAATTAGCATAATTATGCCATTTTATCAAGCAAGTACAAAAACTTCAAAGGAAGTTTTAAACGTATACATATTTTATATATGTATATTTTTAAATGTATACTTTAAAAGAAATACATAGAAACTATGAAAAAACATGATTAGACCTATTTCACAAATATAGGAAAATAGAGTTCCACCTTAATTTGGCATTATGATCAGAACAGGAAAAATAAAACATCTCTAAATAATGAAACAGTTTGCCAGTCCTTTAGGAAATATAAGCAGTTTTCCCAGGGGGAAAAGTGATGGGCCATTCTACACGAATAAAACTTGACAGTGAGATTTTGGAGACTGCTCAGCAGAAGTGAGTTGTCTGCCCAGCACACAGATGTCTTGGCAGGTCCTAACACTCATTTCCTTTCCGGTTGTCCTTCCAGCTCAGTTTGAACTCCAAACAGAAAACCTCTAAGAACCAAGTCCAGCCAATCCCAAGGCCCTAGAGAGGTCCAGCTGTGGTCAAGGGATGGGAATGCTAGGGGCAGAGAGCAGGCCTAAATCTCTCTCTGAGCCACGGGTCTTTATCTAAACTCTTAAGTTTGTCCTTGGTCAGACCTTTCACTTTCTGAAATGGTTCCAGGAGTCACTCGCTTATCCATAATGCCTGTTCCTAGCCTCCTGAGCCCTTGGTGCCTCCGAACCTGAGACTCCTCAAGTCCTGCTTCCTTGAACAGACATCCTGATGAAACTTTTCACTCTCAACCCCTCCCAAAACTCCAGGAAAAATGCCAGGGTCAGTCCTGACGAGTAATGAGGCCTCCCCTGAGAATGTGGAGAGTGGGAACTAAGTAAATGAAGATATTCCAGAAAATTCTTCTCACAATCAAGTCTTCCAAGTTTGAGTATTTCCCTTAAGTGGCAATGACAGAGGTCTGAGAAGTCACTCCCATTGTAGAACGTAGACATTGAATTGCCTGGTGTCGTCTTCCTGTGGTACCTTGGAACCCTGACCTCAAAGCCAGGCTTTTCATCTCAGACCACACTCAAGAAGAAAGCAAAAGATTACCCTCCCTCCGACTCTTCTGTCCATCCAATACAGACGGTTTTTAATTGTATTAGCTTAAAGGGGAAAAGGCAATCAAGCATGGAGTTTGTTTCAGCAACTTTGGTGAAATATGAAACAGAAAAATACAACTGCTGTAGTGGATACACTGTGAGGCCGGGGCCCCACTGGTCTCCCAGGAGGTGGTCCACACCACAGAACTACCATAGGCCCCTCCCCACTTCCATCTATGAAGGAGGTTTCTGCAGTATTGAACACATTGGCCAGGGGGCTTGGAGGTGCTTTAAAGAAGAAAAGCTCTTAACATTAGAAAATGAAACTTCAAACTGACTCTTCCATTTATCCAGAAAGATTATAGAAGCAAAGGGATCCAAAAATCAAAGATCACTTGATCACTTGATTCCCCCGTTATTCATCGAATTACTCGATCAGGTGCCAGTAATGTCTCCATTCATCCCTGTTGTGTGCTAGAGTAGCCCAATGCCATCTGTTCATTCTAGGAACATGCAGAGCCTCAAACCGATCATTCAGTGTCTTGACAAAGAAGTCTGACCATCTTGTAGGTAGGCATCCACGCGATCTTTTAATGTCCCGTGGAATCCAGTCAGTAATGGCTCTAGTCCAGCGGTTGTCTGTAAACCTCATTACGTGTCCAGCCCATCTGATTTTTGATGCCTTGGCAAATGAGACAGCATCCCTGATTCTTGAGCGTTGACGGAGATCAGAACTTCGGATTCTATCTCTCATTTGAGTGAATCGTGATATTCCAAGCATAACTCTTTGAATTCCTCATCCTGTTTTCATAGGGCCCAGGTCTCTGAAGAATATGTTAATGCAGGAAGAACAGTGGAATCGAAGAGATGTGCTCGTAGCTGGAGGTTCTTTGTCCTCTTAGTTATTTCTTCAACGCTCTTGAAGGCATTCCAAGCCGCTCTCTTCCTCCTGCACAACTCAGGTTCCAGGTCATTCATCATGTTGATTTCTCGACCTAGGTA